GTTCTTTTTCATGAAAGTATCTTATTTCTCCATCCATTTTGAAAGATAGTTTTGCAGGGTACATCAATCTCGGTTGGAGGCTGTTTTCCTTTAGGGCTTGGAATACATGACTCCAAGCTCTTCTTGCTTTGAGAGTTTGCTTTGAAAAGTCTGCTGTGATTCTGATGGGTTTTCCTTTTGTATGTGTTTTGGTTCTTTTCTCTAACTGCTTGTAGAACTTTGTTCTTCTGCTGGGTTTCTGGAATCTTAACAATTATATGCCTATGTGCAGATTTTTCTTTGATTAAGGCTATTTGGAGTCCTGTGTGCCTCACTTATCTCTATGTCAAGTTATTTTCCCCTGCTTTGGAAGAGTTCTGCCATTACTTCTGTGTACATTTTTTTTAATGTCATCTGCACTCTCCTGTTTCTTCCTTGACTCCAATCAGTCTGTTATTATTCTATGCATCATCTAGCAGCTGCTGGATTGATTTCTTGTAGTCCCTTACAATTTTGAAGCAATTTTTCTTTTCCTGGTCACTAATGATGAGCAATTATTCTTGAGACAGTTGCAGGTCAATTTTATTTTTACCTATTAAAGATAACTGAAAAAAATAGGACAGATTTAAAGATAATTACTTAAAACCAAAATAATCGTGCATATCATGTTTGGTTCATGCTACTGACAGATTAGAATTAGACTGTTTCTGAATTACCTAGCCTTGTTAATCAATTGCAGAGTTGTTATATCCACTAAAGGTAATACTCAGCTAAAATAAGGGCATAAATTTGAGGAGGGTTGAAAGGACAGAGATCTCAAGGTGTATGGGATTTCTCAAGAGATGCCCATCAATAAGTCCTTTCTTTAATTTTGCTTCCAGGGTACCCAGGTGATGTTCTAGTCCCTAATGCACCATAGTCCATCTTACTGTGTTCACTGCATGAACATCACTTACCTAAGGCTGCACTAAACATGTTACAGGGATTATCTTATTCAGTCCTCTTGATAATCCTAAAGGGTAGATAGATATTAGGTAACTTCTCTTTTGGCTTCTATGGTACTTTCCCACACTTTGAATATTGGTGTAAAAACTGCTCAGAACCTGGATCATTCATTTTTGCCACCTGCTGTTACCTCATGCAAATAGGACCGTGTCTTTTCACTATCTCATAAGTGTTGAACCTGTTGGACTATCTTATTACAGTAAAACTAACCCAGTCTCCCAACTGCCCAAGTGCCCCTGGGGATCAGAGATGGAACAGGGAAGTTAGCTGTGTGGGCCTTTTTCTGTCTGTTAAGTATCTGTATGTCTCTAGGAATTTTAAAGTCTAGGGAATAAGTGCATTTAGAATTCAACCCACTTTTTTCCAACTTGTGCATATTGCAAATTATTCAGCTAGGACAGCATCCTGATTTTTCCCCCTAGGCCTCAGCCTGGTCAAAAACACTTTTACCAGTTGGGAACTGGGTGAGCGATTTGGTCTATGGGAAGGACCTTGAAGAGTCTTAGAGGTGCACATTGACTCCAGGGTATTAAGCTAAAGTGTTCTTGGAACTGACCAAAATGACTGATCTCCTTGTTCTCACTGTCTGGCAAGGAGGAAAGAGACAATGGGAACAGTGTAATTCCACTCTTGATACCTTGGAACCTTGGTCTCCGTGATAAGACTCTGAGCCACTGAGAGAGCTTGGCTTGGAGAGAGCTTGGCTTGGAGAGAGGCCAGTGCATTTTCTAAAAGTCCCTCAACTCATCTTTTTTTTTTTTTTTGGTACCAGGGATTGAAATCAGGACCTTGTGCTTGCAAGGCAGGCAGCAGAACTACTGAGCTAAATCCTTGGCCCTTGACTTATCTTGTCTATTTTCAGTGGACTATTCAGTGTATTTTAGGATGAGCAGTAGTATGAACCAGTCAAATAATCTAGATTTGAATTCTCTCTTAGGTTGTGGGACTCACAGCCACCCAACAGGGTCATGCAACTAAGCTTGCATTTTAAAAAACAAAAGCAAATAATATAAGGGCAGTATATTAGTGCCACTAATATTGTCCACTGCCAAGTATTATTGTCTAGCTCCTTGGCAGTGGCGACTAACTAGCATTTCTGTCCGTATCCTCTGACTTTGAACTTCTTTCCTTATGCTGTAGAATGTTGTGTAATTTAAGGTTTTCTGAAGCTTTCAAGACTATCTTGGAAATGCAAGCGCTGAGAGTCATGAGAGGTGAGAAAAAGGTTTAACTGTAGAACTGGGATGCTGAGATCTTTAGCGATTTTTTGGTGGTAGGGAAGTAACCATTTCAACTGGCTTAAAACAAGGGCAGGTTTAGCTTCTGGTTCCTGTCTTACTTACTATTAATCTCTACACCACCAGCTCTGCCCATTTATTTTCACCATCCCACAGAATTTACATTACCAAAGATCCTGTTTTCGCCTCTTCTTCCTTCTCTTGATTTTAAAATTTCACCCTAAAAAGAAATTTTCAAAGTACATATTTATTAGAGTACATATTTATTAGTATGTATTTATTTAAAGTACATATTTATTAAAGTACATATTTATTACATACTTATTATATATAAATGCTGTTAACATTCAATATTTCCTTTTATCCATTTTCTCTATATATTACCTTTAAGTTGTGTTTATAATTTAATCTAAAATACATTTTTCATATATATATTATATATGTTATATATATATAATATATATATAGTTTGTTTGTTAGTTTAGGTACCAGGGATTGAACTGAGGACCTTGCACTTGTGAGGCAAGCTGCAGCACCACTGAGCTAAAAAACACCTGGCCTGCCTATATATTTTTAGTTGTCTATATTATTACAAACTTTAACGATAGCTTATCAAGAAGATATACACACATTACCTAGTCTTTTCCTTATGTTTAAAAATTTAGGTTCTTTTATACTTTTTAAAGCATAAATAATGTAAATTTCTAAAAATATTTTCTCTATTTTAAAGGGCATTTTCTTAATAGAGACTCTTAGAAATAGAATGACTGGATTGGTTGCCAAATTTCTTCTGTTATTACTAAAAGCACAGTTGTCTTCTGAAGTAATCGTTCAATGTATGTCCAGCAGCATACACATGTGTACTTCATGTCCTTAATTCTTAAAATATTCATTTAAAAATTGAATCATGGCAAAAGTACATCACACTCTTGTCTTAATTTGGTCACTGTGATCTGTGGTGTATTTTGCTTTAAATGAACTTTTTTGAACCATCTTGGTGATACACACCCTCCCTGTGTTTACAAAACAAGTCTTCCCACCAAAAAAATGACTTATTTTGACCTATTTCGGCACTGTTGATTAGATAAGAAAATGAAGTTTATGATCAGGTTTCTGAGTTACGCGATGTGTGTGTGTGTGTGTGTGTGTAATGAGTCGGTATGTAGTGTATGATTGAGAATTGTACAATTCAGCTTGCATAGAATGACTGTGTTTAGAAATGCTATCAGTAGATCTTTTGATTGAGAATTAAGCACATCATTGTCTATGCTTGAATGAAACCTGGCATAGTGATTTTTAGTATGGAGAGGTAGCAAAAAAGATTGGGAACCTTTTCAGAAGGAGTTAACAGAAACAAGTGGGTGGGGAATCATCTCTAAACTTCATCTTTACAAGTAGATTATGAGATGCACAGCAACCAAGTCACAAGATTATGGAGCATGTAGAAAAGTCTCGTCCCTAGGAGGCCTTGTGCTGTGATAATGGGCAGGTGTTGTGATAATGGACAGGTGGTTAGCCTGTAAAGGTTCCTAGACCATGAAGCTTGGGAAGCATGTCTGTTGAGTGAATTAACTGTATTATTTTGTTTTTCACCCCCTCCTTCTCCTCCCTGCCCTGTTTCCTGTCCTGACCCTTGCCACTATCCCTTCCAGGTGAACATGCCTACAAATGTTCTTGGTGCTCATTTTCCACCATGACAATCAGCCAGTTGAAGGAACATTCCCTCAAGGTCCATGGAAAAGCCCTGACCCTCCCCCGGCCACGCATTGTGAGCCTCCTCTCCTCACATGCCCACCACTCCTCTCAAAAGGCTACCCCAACCGAAGAAGTAGAAGACTCCAATGGTAAAAATGGGCTCCTGAGCCACACTTAGGGTTGGGGAGGGGTGGGATCAATTGTCTTGCTCTTTCTAGAGTGGGCAAGGATCAGTTGTATTAGTCTTTTAGAGGAACACATTATATGAAAACATGATGGTTTAAGTAAAGGAAGAAATGTGCAAAGGTTTACAAAGTGGAGTTGGGAGAAGTGTAAACTCTGAGCATCTGTGAGATACCTTCATGAAAACATCCGTGGGTACCAAGTGAGCATCACTTACGAAGGACCACAATGGGTGGAAGTGGGATGTGTTAGTTTTGGATTCTTCCATTGTGGGTTCAAGCAAGCCGGGACTGAAATACCAGGCAGATATTTTTCTGTTTGTTTGTTTTCATTTATATCTTGTCTTAAAAAAATATTTTCTGTGAGGTTTTTGGAGTGACACGTGTAAGTTAACTACATAAAACTCAGAGTAGGAAGGAGAAGGTTGAGTCACTGAACAGATCATGTGATATGTTAAGGATACCATAATGATTTCTTAGAGCTGAAGGATGTTGAGTAAGCATTAGTGGGAAGGAGGGTTTAACTGCCCAGTCCTGCAGATTCAAAAAAAATATGGGAAAATATGGAGAGATTTGCTCATAGGCAGTGTGACCAAAGCTTGTGCAGGCATGGTGTACTGAACAAAGGGAGAGTTTATTGTTTTGATGAGACCAAGAAACAGCTCACCTCAGACGACCGCTGAATCAGAGACTTAAGAGAGAAAGGATAAAGTCTGTAGATCCTGAAGTTGTGAAAGAGTTTAGAGCTGTTCTCTTCCACCTCCTTCCAAATACTTAAATCTCTTCTGCAGTTATTGCCACCAGCTTACATACCTCCCAGATCAGGGAATTGGCTGTTACCAAGGCCCACTGTTCCATTCTTGGGAGTAGATTGGTGGATAGGAAAGAAAGTGGAACAAAACCTTGGATTTGAATCTTCTCTCAATGCTAGTTATATTTTCCTGAGCAATCTTAGCCTAAACCTGTATGTAAAGTTAGATATGGGTTGTCTTGAGAGATTAATGAGAAAAAGGTACATATGTAAAATGCCTAACATAACATCTGACACATAGGAAGTATTTTATAATGGTTATTTTATTTCTGTGGTTTTCAGTCTTTGCAATTTTGGCCTTTGGGGCCATTTAAAGTAAGTATGAATTTTGGGTAATTTTTAATGTAAGGATTTAAAATGAGAGACTCTTCAGGTGACCTGATGATCTGATGATCCAACCTGTCAATGTGATCTAATTCTCATATTATCAAAGCAGTGAATGAGTAACCTTTATTCACAAGCCCTGCGAGTAGGAAGAAATGGAAAGGTAAGTCCTGAGATGAAAAAAATGTCTTTGTCAAGTTGTGGTGCTTGGTGGCCATTCCTTGCAAACTATTAAATACTGTATTAAGCACAATACCTGTCTTAAATGACTCAAACCTAGAGCTGAGTGAAACTACTTGTAAAAGGGTAAAAAAAAGAAATGCATTCCTTGTATCTTGAGATTCTATTCATTGGGGAAAAAATTGGTATATTACAACCAGAGGGCAAAATCTACTATGACCCAAATTATAAGATTTTTAGCAATGTGATTTTTAATTAAATCATTTTCATCTGAAATAGAGGCTACATCTGTGAAGCCTTTTCACAGAAACTGATACAGTACATTCAAACACTATTCCTAGCAAAGACTTTTCTGGGACATTTCTCTCAGTGTCATCTTCTTTGACCTTCTCCCTTGATAGTTGGACAAGAGAATTACTCCTTTAGACAGCTCACTGCATGGATCATCTTTTTCAGTGTAGGCTAAAAGGAGTTGAGCTCCTTCAGCTCCCTGAACCTATACTCTCTGCCCAAAGCTTGAGCAGGCACAGAACAATGAGAATGAATACAGCACTGTCCCGGCCCTCCGGTAACTTAAAATCAAATGTTTAGAAGGTATTATCAACACTCATATCTGAGCTAACCACAACCTCAGGTCTGAGGTCTAATCATTTTTGGGGAGTTGACCTCAGATTCTTAGAAGCCTGGATTGTGGAGTGTGGTGGATGTCACAGAAACTCGACACTAACTCTGTTTAACACAGACAGCCTATCTTTGCTTAGTAAATGTAAGCCTTGGGTGCTAACCATGACCTACACAAAATGGACCTGTGCTGTTTTTAATGTATATAAATAACCCAAATCAAAGAAACAGCAGTGATTAGTTTAATTTGATGACAAAAAAGTTGATTAGAAGGTGAGGTGAACAGAAACAAAGCATCAAATAGCCTGTTCTCATGAAGGGATAATTATGTGGAAAGAATAATTAATAGTTTATTCAGTGAGTTGTTTTTTTTTTTAAGTTCTTACTATAGGTCTTGCATTGTTTTGCATGGCCAGATATGACTGAGGAGACCCACACTAAGAGGACCATTTGCCAAGGAGCTGGATGGTGGATTCCTAGAAACAGCTCAGTCTGGAGGATGGAAAAACAGCTGTGGGGCTAGACAGTAGCCTGTAAATCATGCTTTGAATGGTGTTTGAAACACACATGTGAAATCCAATTGCACATTTTAATAGGGAGAAGCTGTGGGGCTATTGGCTCTCAGTTAAGGTTTCCCACACTGCAGATGCCAGGACACTGTGAACACATGAACCAAAAATGTGTTGCAGGCCTGGGGGAGTCAAGATCCATAAAACCAGGGAAATCACCAGTGTGTCCTTGGCTTTCTGAATCCCCAGTGAGGGATGTGAATAAAATGAGTCGACATGCTCACTGTGCTTTGCAGTGGTCAAATGCTTATTGTCTTGAGAGCTAGCCAGCCTTTTCTGGCAGAAGGAAAGAACCCAAATGGGAGGTTCTTCCCATGCTGTTCTCCTCCCAACCCAGAGGGAAGCATTGCAAGGAAGAGAAGCCGAGAAAGCATAAATGAGAAGATGGAAGGCAGATCTCATTCCAGCTGCCTGGCCACACACCTGTTCTGTGCTTCAACAAAGCTCTTGGGCTCTGAGCTGTCAGTCTTGACATGTTTCACCAGCACGTGAATCCTCTATATATTCTTCAAGATCAGTTGTCGGAAAGAAAAGCAGCAGCTGTATGGTATTGGTTTTGTGTATAGGATAATGGAAAATGACATGTAATTGCTATTCAAAACAATGCATTAAGGGGAGACAATAAGGTTGTCAACAAAGGGAAGAGCTCTACTGTGTTTGTGTTTACTGTGTTCTTTCTCCTGCCATATAAAATGTAGGACTGGCTTTTATCAGTCTGTTTCCAAGTCTCTGCTTTCAATACAGAAAAATACACATCCATACACAGCTATAAAATAACAAAGAAACTAGGACAGCATAGTTTAACCATAAAATTTGTTTAGTTCTGAAAAGGTACACAAGACATGGCCAATGGCTATGTAATTTAAGTTTCAGCCATATACGTTATAAGAAGTCAACCCAGTAGTGACATTCCATCTTTTCCTGCCTTCAAATTTCCTTCAACAAAAAATTATTTATTTGTTTTATCTATCCAGTTATGCTGTATGGAATTGTCTGCTTTAATAAGTCACTACTAGAATCCATTTAAAACAACAACAAAAATTCAGGTACCAAGACTAGGTGCAAAATCAATAAGGTAAATAAGGGTAATATAGGTTTTTTGCGCGTGCTCTACTTAGCATCCCAGAGAACACAAAGAATGCCTGGTCATGATGCCCCTGCCTTTATAATAAAGATCTCAACTGAGTTTATCCAGCAGAGAAATGTTTAATAGAAATTAAAAGAAAAATATTATATGTGATATTCTTGTTGGAACTTTTCAGTTGCCTTTTCTAAACAGTAGAATAATACTGGATAAATACTATTTTTATCAAGTCCCTTCTTAGTAAGGAACCACAGGCATTTGTCATCTCAAAATCAAAGTCCTCTGCACTGCACACAGTGTTGACCAGTTAGCTGTTCTTCCTCCATTGCAGAGTGGCTTAAAACTGATGTTACCTCCCATCTCAGCGCTTGCTGCCCTCAGGTTCTAACTTCTTCATCTGCACTTGCACCTTTTGAATAAGCTCACCTGGGAGCTGAGAAAGATTTCCTACCTGTCTGCTTCTTTCTACAAGTTAATGACTTGCACTTCTTTCAAAGACTGATTTTTTTCATTGTCCCTAACCAACCCTATTTTTATTGCTCTTCTATCACTCTTCTTAAACCTTTATTTGTACTTATAGATATGCTATATCTTCTGCCACCTAATTTTTCCAGTGGGAATAGTGAGGCAGGTACTTAGTAAATACTGTGTTCTTTTAACAGATCAGTGATCTGTCAGAGACATCCCAGTTTTCAATTCAATTGGCTGTACTGAGTCCTGAATTTATCTACCTCTACAGAACCACATTTGTATATGGATGAATTTATCTGTCCTGCATTTAAGAGTTAACTTCAAAGACAATCTGAAGATGAAACCTTACGGACTGTTCTAACAGAAACTTTCTGATGAAGTTAGTCTGCCGAGATGGAAAGATTTTTCTTGACAAAGAGGGATTAAATATTGTCATTGCTTCCTGCATAATGAGACCTTTTGGAGAGGTGGGAAACTGAAGGTTGAGATAGCTGTAAACCTGTCATCCCTCAGAAGGAGGTTGAACTGTGGTGGTGAGGAAGAGATAGACATTGCTAGGATGGTCGCCAGGTAGCAGAGGTGCTGGAACCATTGCACACAATCCTTGACTCTGGAGGGGGCCAACTTGTTCTTTGTGTCTTTGTCAAAAGAACTTACAATGTTTGGTGGGAGTTAAATCCCGATTCATAACAACTGTATAGTGAATCAAACCAACAAAACTTTTCAATGAGTAGAACTTTCTAATCTACCTGAAAATCTTTCCCACTAGGCTTTTAACATAAAATAATATATTGGTTAGAAGAGACTTATTTTACAAGACTCATATTGGTCAACTTCTTACCATAAATCAAGAGTTGGCAAGCTTTTTTCCTGTAAAGGGCCAGATAGAAAATATTTTCAGCTTTGT